CGGAGGCACCTCAGGCTCCTGGCACCCATGCGCTCAGGGCGGGGGTTCTGCCAGGGCACCAGCCGACAGTCACGGCAGGCCTGTGAAGGAGGCACCGAGGCAGGCCAGGGTCGTCTGTGACGCCTTCCACTTTCTCCCTGGGTCCCCCAGCTCCTTGTTCCCGGCAGGGGCACACGCTACTTAGAGTGTCTTTCCAGCTAGTGGCCGCCACCCTCCTGACTCCCCTCCCGGGACCGCCTCGTTTCTCCCTTGACTTTGCCTCAGGGGTCTGCGTCCCTCCTCCTGCGTGGCATGTGTGGAGGGGCACCTGGGGGAGGGGGCTTCCTCCGGTCCTCAAGCCCCTCCTGTGTGGTTTTTACCATGTCTGCACCACCGGTGCCTTTACGCATCTCACCGTCTTTTTCACTTACCAACTTTTCTAGCTTAAACTTATCTTGACAACAAAGATCATGTATCATGATCTGAAAAGTGCGATCGCTCTTCCGGCAGAGAAAGTAGTACAGATAAGCCCTATATTTGGTTGTAGCTGTATCCCACAGCTTGCTTTTAGTGCCCTTGCTTTCTTCCCGTGTGTGTGTGTGTGTGTGTGTGTACGTGCGTGTGTTAAGCTGAGTCTGTCCTGATGGTTTCCACCGACGGGACTCGGCTGAGAGCACCCTCCCCGGTGTTCTGTGCTCTGCATCCACTGTGTTTTCTGGTATGGAAAGCTCGAGTTTATCCGGTGTGACTCCCGGCCAACTGTTCAGGTGGGCAGTGTGTCCCCGTCAGTGGCATGTGATGTCTTGTCTTTCCACCGCATCCACCCATTGTAAAGCTTATCTCCCATCCCCTTCTTGGTTCAACAGCTGTGGGTGGTCCTTGATTCGAGCTACTAGTAACTAGGAGTCCATCCCTAGGTCTGTCATTTTTTCCCTGCTGGCTGCGTTCCTTCTACAGAGAGACGCTTGCCTTCATAGCTGTGGTCACTCTGAAAGACGGACGCTCTGGAGAGGCGCGAGCAGTGCCTCCTGCCCTCCTGTGCGACTCAGAGCAATGTGTCCAGACGTTCTCACGGGCAACGCTGTGTGGATCCTTATTTGAAAACCAGCAGCCACAAAGACATCCATGAGATTGCTGGGGAAGTGTGAACATGCTGGATATCTGATGATAGAAAAGAGTGGCTATTAATTTTAGATATGATAATGGCACCGTGGCTGGTTAAAAACAGGACTCATCTTTTAGAGACATGAGCTGAAGTGTCTGCAGGAGAAACTATGCATTGTCTGGGACCAGCTTCAAAGTTGTTCTTGGCGGAGGGGATGAGGAGGGAGGATTCGCCGTGAATGGTGTTTTCAGCGTGGCGTCTCCGTCCCCTTCCGGCGTGGGCCCGTGCTCGGGAAGCAGCCCAGCACTGCTGTGGCCCAGCCTGCTGGGGCGGGGCACCGCAACCATGCCTGTGTTCTCCTCAGCGCAATCATAGAGCACACCAACCGGGTCATCTTCCTGGAGGACGACGACATCGCCGCAGTGGCCGACGGGAAGCTGTCCATCCATCGGGTCAAGCGCTCGGCCAGCGATGACCCGTCTCGAGCCATCCAGACCCTGCAGATGGAGCTCCAGCAGATCATGAAAGGCAGGTGTCCCTGGGAGGCCTTACGTGGCGGCCAGCACCAGTCGTGCCTCATGGGGCCCTCCCGCCCTCTGTGGCCGCTGGGGCCACAGACCCTCTGTCCCCACCAGGCCAAGCCTGACCCACCCTGCCCAGCCCGCTGCCTGAGGCCCCACCCTGGCCAGCAGCTGCCTCAGTTGCCCAGGCAGGCCAACCGCTGCACCCTGGGGCCTTGCCCTGCCTGTTCTTCTCACAGGACGGCTCCATCGGGCCAATCCAGCCCCCCAAAATGCCCCTCTCCCCCCCGTCTTCTTGGGTCCTTGGTCTGCCTGGCCCCTCCCCCACAGCGACCGC